ATTTTTTTTTCTTTTTTCAGGAGAACACCTAAATTTAGAGGGCAAATGGGAAACAGACCTAAATGTCAGAGACTTGGAAGAAGATGGAACAAGGACAAGAAAGAGACCAAGATAGCAAAGGAGCAAGTGAGAAGACGGCTCTTATCAGGGTGAATTATCAATAGTGTCAAGTGAGTATGCTGATTTTTTTGTTGTTTTGTCTTTTTGAGACAGGGTCTCGCTCTGCAGTTCAGGCTGGCCTTGAGCTTACTTTGTAGCCCAGGCTGATCTCAAACTTGCAACAATCCTCCTGCCTCAGCCTCCTGACTGCTGGGATTACAGGTGTTTGCCGCGATGCCCGGCTATGCTGATGGAATGGAAATTTGTTTTCGGTTATGGGAATGTCACTGGTAGTGGTGCACTAAATATATGAGAAAAGGCGGAAGCCTGACCGGAGTAGCAGACTGCATGATACTGGAGGATGAAGAACTGCGGGAAGCAGATGTAAAAATTTCTGTGAAGAAGTCTCATGGAGAAGAATGGAACTGTAACAGAGGGGTGGCAAGTACTGGGAAATACAGTTTGTTTTGCAGGGTAAAGTTAAACATATTTTGAAACCAAAGAAGAGTCTGGAGATTAACAAGATGGAGGGGTAGAGTAACAGCGCTGATGCCTGGAGGGTTCTGAAAGGAACTTGCTCAGGAGAAGTCATGGAAAGAGAAAGGCCCTTCCTCAGAAAGCAGGAGTCGAGGGCACAGGGCACAGGCCGGGAAACTCACCCCTGCAGGGTCTGCGCGCGTCGCGGGGGGCGGGGAGCGGGCGGGGTAGCTGAGGCCCTGAGCAGTGCGGAGCCAGCGGCCGCAAGCAGGCTGCGGACCAGCAGGGGCGAAGTCGGGAGGAGGAGCGCCCGCCGCGGGGCACCATCACCTTCGCACGCGGAGCGGCCCTTGGGCACCAACGCCGCCTGCCGCCCGCCACGTGCCTGAGCCTCGCGAGAGAGGGGAAAGCAGCGGCGGGCTCCGAGCGCTTGCGTGAGCCGAAGCGCGAAGAAGACGAACTCTCGCGTGGAGTAGGACGCCACGGAGCGTCATTCAGTGCAGAGACCAAGCGGTGCCCATTACTTTCCACGTGGCAGTAAACTTTATTTTCCTTACAGCTGGCCGAGTCACCCCTGGGCAGAGCCGGTCGGGCACCGGGGTGCGAGTAAAACACCGCAGCGGGCCGGCTCAAGATCCACGCGGACCGGCACAGGCGGGGAGGGGCGCGGCTAGCGAGCAGGCCGGGCCGCGCGCGCACCCGCCTGAGCAGACTGGAGAGCGGGTGACTGGAGGAGCCGAGGCCGCCGCCGCCCCCGGAGCCACCTCCGCCGCCACCCCCGGAGCCGCCGCCGCCGA